TCTTCATACATGAATAGGAAGAAAATATTTACTAAGCAAAAGACAATTTCTCTTTATTTGGAACATAGAATAGTGTATATAGAATTTAAAAATGGCTAACGGACATTTCAGTTTACCAGCTGAATGAAATATTTGTAGGGAAAAAGGTTTTTTCTTGATTAGATATAGAATGTAGACATTAATTTGATTAGATGTTGATTTTCTTGAATATGATATAGAATCCAGAAGAACATGTAAACAAACACTATTTGTGAGACATTTTACAATAAGATAGCATATTTGTTCTAATTAAGTGATCAAATACCATTTTATGGCAAAAAGACAAACCGCAAAATTTGCAATATAATCCTTTTCGGTTGCATGTATCTCCCAAGAACTTCGTCAGACATCTTTTTAAATTCTTTTTCATTAATTTTCAGAAAATATTAATATTTAATCTGCTATAATTTTAATATTTTTAGGTTTTTTTATATTTAAAACGGTGTAAGGAGATTAAACTGCAGCACTTTTTTCTTAATTTCATTTAAGTGATAAGCATTTTAAAATACATTCTTTAAAATGGTTAAAATTCTATTGTAATATTGGATAAAATGAAAATTTTAAATGATTTAAACAATGATGAAAATGTTATCATTTTAATATGTGGTAGGATGTAAATGATTTAATACTTTTCATATTTTCTCTATAACATTTTGATATAATTTTTTATGACAAAGCAATTCTAAAAGACAAAGTAAAATATTAGATTAGTTTTGAAACGTTACATTGCTTTTAATTGGGGTACAAGCAATTTATGACAGATGAATGTGGCGAGATTAATCATGTAATGGAGAAAACAATTTCATCATTTTCAGAATTATTTTATGAAATGCCAGTTCTTGAATTTTAATGGGAAAAAGAAGAAGCAAACTCAACATTTAACTTTTGTCAAATCAAAATAAGCAAAAATATTATACTTTATAACTTTATCAAGACTTCCATCCAAGTTTATGTCACTATGCAAAAACTTATATAAACTTATTACGAGGCTATTGTAGATCAAAATGTAGATGACCACGCCTATGTTAAAGCTACATTTGTTCCCTTAATGAATCAAAACAAAACATGAGAAGCATATTCATTTTTTTGAGAAAATGTATTTATCTAATTAAGTTTGGTCTACCTTTCCCATTAGCTGTACCCGTCTATTTAAACTAATCTGTCTTAGACAAATATTATAATATATAAATAGGTTTCAGCAATTACTGATTTCAGTTTCCTTCATAAGTACATATTCGTCTTGTATACTTCTTTTTCAAGAAAAAGAATTCGTCTCTTTCAAGTCTTTTTATTTTCAAAACGGAGAAAAAAATTCTGGTGAAATTTCCATACTGTAAAGTACTAGCTCTTTTACGGTAAAAAAAAATTATTCTGGTCAATAAAACCAAAATATACGGTATTTCAACCATTGATTTGATCATTTTTCTTTTCATATAGAAACGGTTTACGCGAAATCTTAGTTTTTAAAATTATAGTTCTTATTACCACACATTTAGTTAAAACAAAATACAAAATAGAAAAGTAAATTTAATAGAATAAATGGTTTGCCATGCTCTAAGGTATTATAATAGTTTTTTCAGCTTTCCCAAATTTTATCACGTAATATAAAACTATATTTTATAGTTAATTTCAGCAAAATTATTACCAAAAATTACCAAGATGTTTGACGTTTCCGCCGAAAAAGTAATAAATAATATCAGACCTGGCTTTTAACCGGAGATTTTTCCCAAATATTTAAATTAATAGCAGAATTTCTGTTTTAACATTTGATTTAGAAAGATTTTAACCGCAGTAATATTTAAAGAATTAAAAGATATAGAAAAATGTTGAAAAATCAGGAAGTATTAGCTTTAAGTAATGGCGAAATGCTGTTTTTTTATGTGAGGCTTTAAATAATATGGAGAGCTTGAACTTCAGTGTTGGCAGTTCTGTAATACACTGTAAAACTTTTGTTGCATAGTTGCCACCTTTTTTTGGTGCTGTGGAAAATTAAAATTTCTTACCGTGCAAGTAGTAATATTTTTTATTTACTTCTTCACAGTTATAGTTTTATTTATTAATTTATTCATTTTTGTTTGCTTGCTTAAAATTTCTTTGGTTTGCTTGTTTGCACATATTTTCATGCGAATTAGAATCAACTTAAGATTTCACTGCAAAAAAGCTTTGTTTAAAAAAATAAAAATGTTTCTAATAATATATTTGCACTAATTCTTTCAAAAAAATTGTTATTTTGTCAATTTTACATAAATTTTTGCACTATAACTACAGTTCTGTACTTAAAAATGCATTTAGTTTCCCTCAACATCAAAAAAGGAGGCAACTATAATCAAAGTCTTTTACTGTGTAAAATAATAGTCTGAGATAATAAAAAAAATCTCATGAAAAATTTCGAAATATTTTGAAAAGATTTCTATATTTTTTCAATTAAAATCTACGATTCGTTGAAATTTCTTCCTTTATCTTTTTATTAGCCACTTTAGTCTTTTTTTATTTTTTATTATTTTTTTGTAACAAAAGATTAATAGAAAGTTTGAAATTTTATACAGCCTTCAAAATAAGACCAGTTAAAGAACATTTATTGGAGGTATTGCAAAAAAAACTTAAAATAAATTAAGAGTTCAACTAGTTTATTTTAGCATGACTTGGATTCTCCGAAACCTAAGAACAGTTGTGTATAGTACCAAAATATGTCTTTTAATACATTATCTACAAATTTAGTTTAAGAAGAAAATTCAAGTAGAGGAGATACTTAAACTAGATATTTTTAAACAGCTAGGAAACACTTCAAAAAAGGAAAAAAAATAGGAAAAGAAGCAGTAAATAAAAGAAAAGAAAAAAAAAGAAAAATTGATTTGAAGTGCGGAACCAAAAATGCTTTTAGTTAAAACTGATTCATAAAAGTTGGAAAAATTGCTAGAACTCAAGCTGCAAGTTGTTTAACTCCTAAATCATAAAACTGCAAAATTATAATAAAAATAGTGAATTATGTTTACTCTTTTGTTATAGATACTTCAAGTATCAGTTTTTTTTTCTACTAAAAGTAGTTTTACCCTACATAAAACTTACATATTAAGATTATTTATCTTTTCTTCTCTTGCTTGTAGAATACATATTTTTATACATAACTGATTTTTCTTCTCTTTTTTTTTTAGCCTCATATTAAGGGAAACGCATCACTAATTTTGTTTAACTTTTTACCCTGTTAATGCAACGCTATCAGAGTGAGAAAATTTATGGTTCTTCCTTTAATGTGCCGAAAAGTTGAGAATTGATTTCGATGGGAGTTTTTTTCAAACGATTTGAATAGTTTTGCTAAATTGATATTTTTTTAAACAAAGCATAAAATTTTTGTTTCAAAATAAGGCATTTAAAAAAATTTTTTTAACAGAAATGCAAAGAAAACATACTTTATAACGTTTTTGTTAGCTTTATCAAATACCAAATATCAATACAAAATCTATTGTAATCTCTAAGTTAAAAATCTGTTATTTCTGAATCGAATTAGCATTAACTTTAGAAACTTGGAGAGAGTATTTTTTATATAAGGTAAATAGCTATATTTATTTAGATAGCTTTTTTTAGGATTTGCGGAAGACATTTTACCAATTTGTCTTATAAGTCTGCCTCATTTCGAAACTTATTTTAAAATTAACATTTTAGACACGTTTTCCATTTACAAGATCGGAAACTAAAATTTCATTTAATTATTTTCTTATAGATGAATTCTTTTTCGTGTTTATTTTTGAACAACTGTATTTCATTTTTTTTTTAATTTCAGAATATATATAAGGTTGCAATTGAAATTAAAATTATTTAAAGCTTTCCAAAAATTATGTTGACTTTCTACTATTTTGGAGAATCTAAACAACATATTAAGCATTGGATGGAAAAGTACAGAACACTTTGTTCAAACTTGGAGATTTCAAATGAAAAAAATATTCATTTTATTTATTGCAATAGCTCTTATTACTTTACATAAATTAATGCTAAAGTAGACGTAGAATTATAGTTATTAATTATAGAGCATAATGAAGAAAAGTGTTAACAAAATTATTATTTCCTTTCATACCCTAATTATAATAAGAAGGTTTGTGGTATATTTTAAGCCAAACTTATCTTGAAATAATAATTAAGCAAATTAGTTTAATTTTAAATAGTAAACGTTAAATAAATTGTAAAAATGAGTAAGTTTTATTTATTTTTAATACTACTTTTAATTTATCCCTTTTTTTTAATTTCAATTTTCAAAAAAAATTAAGCAACAGTTAACTTTGCATATATTTTAAGTAACAAGCATTTTCAGTTAAAAGTTTAAACATTAACTAACATTTTCATTTAAAAGGTTAAACAAATTGTTAAAGATAAAATTTGATGTTTCAAAAGCAGATATTTCTAACGCAAAGGGGTACTACAAAAAAACTGACATTGAATGATAGTTTTTATAATTCCATAATAAAATTATTTTCTGTTCATTCGTACAGTTTTGAGCCATGGTTGCTAGTAAAATTAAATTTTATTTTAATTCTGAACAAAGCTCAATAACCAACTTTTTTTAATGGGATCAAAACCTAATATATCAAATTTTACTTAATATGTATCTACATAATATATCAAATAAAAACTTCTACCATTGCGCCTTTTCAGTTTCAAGTTGTTTGACAAAGACCGTTTTTAATTGCACAGAAAAGAAAACTATTTTTTTTCACATAAAAAACTACTTAATTTAGTTTTTTAACTTTATTGAAATATTTTAAAAAATTATTTTAAAAGTCCTTTCAACAGTTATAGCAGAATATAATTCTTATCTGCTTAACTATAGCTAAAATATACTTCATGAACTTCTTAATGCAAAAAGAAAAAGAAATTGCTTTTATTCCATCATTTTTTGAGGCCCTCCAAAAACTATAATATTATTGATAAATGTAACTTTTAGAGATAATTAATAAAAGAAAAAAGCCTACCTTCTCGTTTGACATTAGCCAAGTTGTGGTGAAAAACTCTCGAAAAATCGATGAGATATGCTGCTTGTACCAATAAAGCGAAGCTGAAAACCATCAACATTTGCAGGCTGGCTGTTTGTCGAGCTAACATGTTGCTTTAATAAAAACGATTAATTTTTATACCTGTGGGATCGCTAGCACGGGAGGGAGCGTTTTTTGGTGTTCGCTAAGTCACCGAATGAGAGATCCGGAGTTGAGAGCCGGGGCTTTTTAAGGGCGGCCGGGCCTACGCATGTTGAGTGAGAGGCGTGCGAGCATGCGTGTACAGGTGTGCAGGGGCAGACCAATAGCGGCCTTCTCACCTACAAATTTTTATTTCAATGGATGAACGCTGACGTTTTATAGATTCTAATATTTAATTCCGCCGATTTGAGTGATTTGAGAATAGAAAAATTTTGAGAATTTTTGATGTGGAGCAGATAACACTTGTCGATTTTATTATTGAAATTTTGCCATCAATGACAATGAGTCTCTTTGAAAAACTGTACAACTGTTGAACGCACTTTTAGAACAAGTTTTAATCTCATTTTAAAACTGAGATTTTAAGGAAGAAATATCATGAAAATATGAAGTTAAATGTAACTAGTAGAGTTGTTGAGAATAAATTAAAATAAAACTTAAAAATATTTAATACCTATGATAGAAAAAGCTGTTTTATTTTTTTGCGCTTCTATTTTTGCGCTTTCTTAAGCATTTTTTGGTAGCTGACATGATATTCTCAAAACCCTCTCAATAAATAATTACATAATACGCAGACGAAGATTTAAAAAAATAATACCCTCTCACACCACTTTGCACGGAGAAAAAATTCTGGTAAAATTATAGTACTGTATGGTTATAACATCTATGGTAAAAACAATAATAAAAAAACATAATTCTGGTAGTAAGAAACAAAATATACGGTATTCAAACCATTAATTTGGTAATTTTTTCGTTAAAATGGTAAAGATTTATCGGAAATTTCGATTTCAAATTTATAGTTCTTATGATTACACATTTAGTAAAAAATACAAAACTGAAAAGTAAATTTAACCGAATAAATTGTTTGTATGCCATGTTAAGATATCATGATAAAATTACCAAATTTTACGACATTTACCAAATTTTATTACATATTCTAAAACCATATTTAATTATTAATTTTACCAAAATCATTACTAGAGCACTTTGGAAAAAATTACTTTTGGTGTTCCCATAGAGCCAAAACCACTGTAAATTTGACCATATTCTGGTTGTTTTGACTATACTTTTTTCTCAGAGTGTAAAGCACTTTATTAGACTTTATCGAATAATTTTGTATTTATTCGCGCGTTGTACGAAGAGGATATAACATGGGTAGCAACTTATGACCCATTAAAAATCACAATAAAAGAGGGAGTTTTAGATTATCAGTAATAATCCTAACTGCAATTTTTTTTTATGAATCGAAATATATGCTATTAATTTACAGCTTAAAATTCGATACCGTAAAACTTAAAATTTAAGTTTTTAGAATAATTTGCTTGCAGGCTTACTCCAAACAAAAGAAAAATATTAAATAAAATAAAAGGTCAGCCATTCTTAGGTGCAATCCAAATCTACAGCGGATAACTTAATAAAACAACAGTCAATAATTGCAAATGTCATTCTTATAGCCTAAGGATTTTACTACGTACGAAATATAAGAAATAATTAAATGGCTAAGATTTTGCGGCACTGCGTTACGTGTTAACTCTAAGGAAAAAGCACTTTCAGTTATTACAGTATCAACTGAGAAGAAAAATTGCAGACATTAAATTTATTAGGGCATTTTTAAAGATTGTGGCTTACTTGGTTTCTGAACTGCTGACAAAGTATTCTAGCAGATGCACTGCAAAAAGTTCCGAATCAAACTGAGGTATAAATTATAGGCACTTTTTGTTGCATCCTCCGTAAAATCCATTTCACCGTAATATCCATTTTTACTGTAAAATATTATACCATAATTTTAGCAATAATATTTATTTAATAAGAGTGTTTCAATGATTTTACAGTAATTATTACTGTAAAAATTAAGATATATCAGATTTTCGTTCCGTAAAATGTTCGGGTAAAAATGAGTTTTATGGTAAAAAGTACCGGTACTTTTTACCGCAATTTGATCCGGTATTTTTTTAAGTGTAAAATTTTCGAAATAAGTATTTCAAGTCTGATTTTTTTTAATGTAAGCACTTTTTAATAAATCCTTTAACTAAAAAAAAACTTAAATTGTAAGAGCGCTTAAAATGAGTTTGTTAAAGTTTTAAAATTAATATTTTTAAAATTACTCTAACTTAAAAATTCAAGATTGCATCATTTTTTTTCACTAAATCTAATTTTATGCTAATATTGTCAGGAAACAAATGGCATAATTTCTGAAGGATTAATTTGAACTTGTTGAAAATGTACAAAAAGTTTTAAAGAGGAGTTGAATCTGTCTCATCGATAATCAACTTTGATTTTCTTTTCTTGGAAAATACTAACTTGATTTTCAAAATCAGTTTTTGTTATATTCTTCTTATTGTAATTCTTGTTGTAACTGAGACATAGCTTTAATAAAATTTAGAAATTTCAGCTTTAAAAATTTGAAATTTATTTTCTTTTTAAATTTTAACAATTCATTTAAAAATAAATTAAGCAAATTAAGGACTGAAAATTAAATGTAATTATAATACTTACAAATTTTCAAAATTTGCATCATGACAAAATAAAATTGAAAATTAATTAAAAATTTCCCGAAAAAATTGCAAGAACGTAGATAATTTAAATATAAACTAGAGTAAAATATTCCTTCCGCAATATACAAAATTTCACATGTTGTCTGCAATGACATTAAGTACTGTTAATACCATAGAGCTAAACTAGTAATAATAATCCTAAGCTTTTCATTGGAACTGTTTATATATACAACGAAATTAGAATTGATTTTAAGAAAGCTTTTAAGAATAATTTTATAAGCTTTCTAGCGTCGGATACTGAATTTTAAAATGTAGTGCAAAAGTTAATTTATATTGCCTGAAGGATTAATTTTATTATGATTTTAACCATTAATTTGTAAATGGAATTTCGATAGGAAGAGTAAAAGAGTTAATGGGTTGATAATTTAATGTTTAATTAAGTTAATCTTCATCGCTGAAGACTCTGCTTCACTTTTATGGTTCAATTTAGAGTTCGTCCGGATTTTCTGTACATTTTAATAAGTAACTAAATGCTTATGCTCAAAGATTGCTATTTTGGGCGAATGGCTGCTATTTTGGGCATTCAAAACAATGCTTCTTTTAATATAGAAATATTATTTCATTGAAACATTGTCTTCAAACATTTATTTTTATAAAACATTTCATGAATAGTGATAAAATAATTTATTAATAGAAAGGTGGGAAATAGAATGCTTTTAAGTACGACAATTAATCAGAAGAAGTTCTACGTCATTGTGACTTAGCGTTAATTTATTAGCAACAACTTAGCGAATTTCTGATTCCAGATAAAATAGATGTCCTAAAACATTACTTTACACTTTTAAAATGTTCTTTAATTATCTTTATAAATCTGAATATGAATTGAGCAAGATTTTTCAAGCAACTGATTGTACAAAAATAAGTGGCTCCAATTAAGCAAATTAATAATAAAAACAGACTTGAAATAAAAGAAAATAATTTTAAAAAAATTCATTCCATATTTCTTTAAGAAAAAACGAAAGAAAAAATTCTGTTAAAATTACCGTTCTGTACAGTAATGGCATTTCTGGTTAAAGAAAATCATAACTCTTATTAATAAAACTAAAGTATAAGGTATTTAAACCATTCATTTATTAATTTTTTTGCATTCATTAGAAAAGGTTTGCTAAAATCTTGATTTTCAAAATTGTAGCCCTTGTTACCACACATTTTGTAAAATACAAAATGGATGGTTTATACGCCATGCTGTAAGGTATCATTATGAAATTACTAAATTTTACTACATTTACCAAATTTTATCACAGTTAAAATTACACATTATTGTTAATTTAACCAAAATCACTACCAAAGAGCTTCGGTAAAAATTACTGAGCTTTTCGATGCTCCCATAGAGGGTATATTTTACCATATTCTGGTAGTTTTGACCACATATTTTTTTTTTACCATATTCTGGTAGTTTTGACCACAAATTTTTTTTACCATATTCTGGTAGTTTTGACCACAAATTTTTTTTCGGTGAAATAATTGGGTTAAAATACCTAAATTAGTTGTTTTGGGTTAAAATAAATAAACAACCTTTCGTCTTACTTTGATTGATTGTACCTGCAAGAAAAAGTTTTAAAAAAAACTTTTTTAGACAATTTTATTTAATCTTCTATTTTAAAAAGAAATTCTTGCACATCTTCTTTTTAAGTTTTTTTTTTAATGAATATCTTAAAATTTATTTTTAATATGTATTTGCAGACAGAATATATCTCCAAAAATAATCAGACGAATTTAATTCGAACTTCTTTTACTTATGTTCAATTTTAACCTTTTAATCTAAAACAAAAAAAATTATTAATTAAGTCAAATAGTTCCAAAAAGTTCTTTTTTTAAGAAAATATTAGTTTTTTTTTTTTTTACTGATTATTTTCGAATAAATTATTTTGCTAATTTTATTTCAATCCAGTAATATCGCTCACAAAATTGAATGGCACCAACTGGATATTTCGATTCAGAATCTACTTCTAAACAATGTTTTTTTAGTTTTATCTCCAAAGCCTATAAATAGTTTTTATTTTATTAAGTATGATAACAATAACAAATCGTTTAACTTTTATAATTCGAACATTCAGAAGAAAAGTTAAAGCTAGATTTAAAGAATATAGCATGCGTGATTGAATAGAGCAAATTTATTGTTTCATAATTTAAAAATATTACAATTAACCATAAAAGAATACGTAAATTTTAAGAGGTTTTGTTTCCTCAATTCAAGAAAAAAAACATAAAACAAAAAAACATAAAGCAAAATAATAATAAACAGGAGTTTTTGATTTGAGGCATATCTAACGATTCTTTTATGTTTTCGAAACCCTGCAAAACTTTTTCTCCTTTATAGAATAAAGCACGAGGGAAAAATAAGATTGCTTAGATCTTTTATCTGGTGATTGTTTACCGCATAAGAAAAATGAAACTCAAATTTTATATATTTTTACAATGAACATAAAAACATGTTAAAAACGATTATTATTTTAATGAAAGTCTTTAAATTACTAAAAGGT